TTTATCTATTCACCAAGAATCTCATTTGCCCATCTTAATGGAGGATGAGGAATTCGGCGAAAAAGTGCTTAAATCTTTACAAGGCCTTATTCCATCCACATCTCTGTCGTATTACAGGGGAAAGACGTATACACTGCATGCAACTCGCATGCAAGTCTCGAAGAACATTTCGTGTAGCAGAGAAGACACGGTTAAACCTTCGGTTTCTGAAAAGGTTTACTTCAACTGCAGTTTCCACATTTCAGACATGCGGATGGATGCTATTACGGTAATTTGTTTTAAAAACATAGAATGACAATAAAGATGTTGTATGCAAAACTGTTTATCATGTCATCCATTGTAGACTGCGGTTGCTACTACATTCCAATAGCCACAAAAAATAGCGTTCTTGAACAAGACACGAATATGTTTCTTCAAAGACTAGAATTTCTTTCAGAAATACATGTTTCTTCAAAAATTCCGGAAACAAGAAAAACTGCTGGTACTGCGTACACATAAGGTGTGCATGCACAGAAACTTAAAGCGAGAGAGCAACGCAACAAAAGCCGAATGTGTTTTCCCATCATCGTTAAGTAAATGTCGCATGGGCTTCCTTTACGAACTGAGTGCTATTTAAAGTGTATTCTTGAGGAAGGAGTTTAAAGTAGCAATATAATTATATATGTACACATAAAGAAAATTTAAAAAAAAGGTTTTTAGATGGTTTTTATATTCGTAGAATATCCCTTCTGTCCATTTTAATTATGGTATTTCTAGTTTCAAAATAGGATGCTTTTCAGATCGTTCTTCAACTTCTAAAGTTAACTGCAAATTCATTGTTTTTTTACATTCAGTGAACTTAAATGGTCTTTCGTATACATATATTAAAGCATTTAAAATGACAATGTTCCTTAAGTCATTTGCCAAAATTGATGGAGTCAGAATTATCGGCTACATCACACCGAATGCCTAATCAACATGAAAAAGATGAACGCAGTCAACGAATAGGGACAGATAATGCACTTTTACTTGATAGAAGAACCATTTTAATACCTTGAATTTTCAGAACCGTTTTTAGTAGGTATTTTGCTGAATGCTGCTTCTGGGATTTAAACTTTCCCAAGATAAGACACAGACAAAATGCCGAATCTTTAACATGTAACTTTTCTTTCATTTATCTGGGAATTTGTGATAATATTAATACCGAAAAGAGAAGAATGTACTGTTCGACGATTGCAATACTCGACCTTGTTTGTCTACAATTAAAACAATGTTCTGTGAGAGGCCGTTTACCTGTTTGATTTTCTTCTGGATCCCACCTTTGCAGACACTAGGTCATAGAAAAGGCAGTCGACTATATTGCGCAAATCGAGCGTAGATTTTCGGTGCGGGCCCATCCACAGGAAGGGATGAGAATATGTCGTAATACAGAATACAATGTTTGGCATTTTAATAAAAAATAACCAATAGGATAAACACCTAGTTGCAAATCTATCTTTGTAAAAATATGGCATATTTGTTGAAACCCTGTTTTCCGAACTGATGTAAACATTTGGAAACATGACAAACGAGATGACATGCAGCAGAACGATTCAGTCGATAAAATGAATTATACAACATGTTATCCGTTGACAAATGATCCTCTTAAATTTCCATATAAAGTTTCAATAAATGAGGCACACGCATGTTATTGGTCATTTATCAGAAATATTACACGCCCATTACAAACTGAAAAAAGATACAGCAAAATGAAATAATCGTTTCAGCTTTCTCCGTACCTCCGTATAGCATTGTTCTCATTTATAATAAGCAAATTTTAATTTTTGCGGCGAATTCGCTTTGTTTCAATAGCATTTAAAAAACTTTTTTCGTCAGCTAGGCTTATTTGGAAAGTACTAACTTTTTCCTCTTACATTATAGAGTCAACTTGGGAGGTACAAGCGAACGACTTCAAATATTGTACTCAAGGATATTGATGGTTTAGTTGTTGTTTCTGCGTTGGACGATATTGTCAGATCGGAACGGATCCACCTTCATAGTGCCATTACTGACTATGAGATTGCCAACATCATGCCACAGATACATGAGGGCCTTGGTATCTCTATATCTATGCGGAAGCGGCTGTTTGAGCATTCGTTAAATTCTCACGAATACAAGGATCTTCAGTACTTGCAGTCAACTGTGTATTTTGACTAGTAAGATCGGTTGGCGCCACTGATTTGGTCGACTTGATCAACGATTATAGAAGATACTATGTTTATGTCGTAATAAAGTCACAACCTCACAGGCGATCATTTTCGCATCATTTCCTAATTATATATCACCATTATCAACAAGTTTTCATAAGTATTTCGAAGCTGTTGATGGTGAGGGTCTGCGCGAGACAGTCATTTTTGGGTCAAATTCGTAGAGGAAACACATTTCAGCGCGGCATGAGCGCTCGTTTTGATAAATTTGCTTGCGCAGAATGAACGGAATTTGGTACAAACACAAGAAAAAAAGCCGGCAAAGCTAAACGAGACTGAAAATAAATATTTCTGGAACTTAAGCCGTTGTCAGCCAGTCATATCCATGCAAAAGTGGACTCCCACCCTGATACTCGAAGTCGCGACATTTGTGAACAGAGTTAAACACACATTAGGTCACAAGCTCGTTGTCTCACCGATTTAGGTCAGGAGATACCGGTACTAGTCGATAAACGCTCGCCTGAACAACCATGACGAGCTAGAGAGCTCGTGGCTCACTCCGTTTAAATATGTCCGGAGTTCGAAGATCGTTTCTGGGTCCTCTTCAGCCCTCTTCGGCTGACGACGGCTAATAAGGCAAAATGGCCTCTCTAGCCTTTTTTGGTTTTGTCTAATGGGCATTTCTGGCTTTTTAGCCGTCGACAGCCACTCATATCCAAGCAAAAATATGGACCTCTGATACTCGAAGTCGCGACATATTTGAACGGAGTCAAACACCCATTAAGTCACCCCCGCCCGTACGTCATATTATTAAGTAACATGCTAGTTGTCTCATTGATTCATGTAGGGGGATATTTGTGCTTGTTGATGAATGGTCACCTAACCTACAATGGCGAGCCAAAGAGTTCGTGGCTCAATAAGAGTGCATCGGC